TCTGCACTACCATCGACCTAACAAATATCTTTGGACACTTAGTTTCACACCCAAGGCACACCATTACACTCACCATCAACAACGCATAATCATAATTAGCGCTACATTTATCACCTCATCTTTACCCAAAATGTACACATATCACCCCCACCGTCAACCACAGCCCCTCCACGAGACGAGATAATGTCTGCGTATGTAGATACGATTGAGATAGCACGTTTTCCCTATTTTATTTTCTTTCAACTTTTCTCCTTTCCTTGCTATGGGGCATTTGTCTATGGGTTAGCGGGATTTCTGTACTTTTCTGTACGGTAATCTGGTCTAGGCTTGGCTTTGTGATGGATTAGTGTAAAAAATATACCCTTTTCGCTTCCTAATATGTGTGGTAAAAGGGTGTTTATGTGTGTGATGTCGTGTCGAAGGTGTACAGGAGGATTAAAAGTCGAAGTTATCAAAGTGGGAAAGCATACAGGTAGGAATGTATAACACCACAGCACAGGATATTCAAGAAAAGTTCGTATAGTGATTCACTTTCGATTTGATATTTCTACATAATGCTCATAACTAACTGAGCTATCTGTCCATCTATGCTATCGTGGTATCCTTCATTCCTTCGCTGTACATTGTACACTGTCCTATCCATGCGATTATCATCAAAAGTCAGTCGCTTTGCTAATCCGATTCAAAAAATATCAGAGACCCCGTGGTATGCAATTTCCATCAACAATAACCTTCACACTTCTCATCTAGTCGCTGTCGCTCAACGAGTCTCGTCGGCCCACAGCGCGGACACCGCCACGACGGTATCCGTCCATGACGTCCCTTCCTCCTCTCCTCGATGACGGTGCACCAACTTGGCTCACGCTCTCGCTTACGCCAACGCTGCCAGCCGATGACAAACCGGGAATGTGACAAGGGTAGCTCATGTGTCCATGGGCATCTCCGTTTGTTTCGGTGAAGATATCGCTAGGGGCTGGAGCATACTGAGAGCGGCTGGGGCGTGCAGACTGCGATGAACGAATTTGCTTCTGGGGAGACTGGGACTGGGTGCGGGAGGTGGGACGGGGGCGTGCACCTTGAGGACGCTCGCCTTGGGGACGCTCACCGCGAGGACGCGTCGAGGATCGAGAAGTGCGCTCCTTCTTGTTGGTGGCCGAGCGGGAGGTGTAGACAGAGGGGTCAGCGTTAGGGCGGTAATCTGAGTAGTACGATGACTCAACATCGTTGCTCTGGGCGACTGATGGGGCGACGCGAGATTGAGTATGGCTGGTAGGGGTAACATCCGTGTAGGCACTTGAGTAGACAGTATTGGTGTCGTCACCGGTTGTGAAAGAGTAGGCTGCGGAGGGAGGACCACGATGGCTCTTGGGCTGCTTCTCTGGGGTACCAGCTTCGGATGGCGCGGTGTACTCGGTGTAGGCGCGTGTGTATTCCGACGGGGCAGTGTGTTCAGTGAGAGGACGGGTGACTTCAGCCATTTCAGGTACTTCGGAGGGGGCAATTTCAGACTTTGTTTTCTTGTTCTTCTTGTATGCCTCCCTCTCACGCTTTGCTTCGGCCTTCTGTTGTTCCTTGCGTTGCTTGGCCTCTGTGGCAGCAGCCCGAGCAGTTTCCTTTTCGGCAGCTTTGGCTTTCTTCATACGTTCTTTGGCACGCATTTCCTTTGCCTTGGCTTCCTTCTTAGGGTCTTTCTTTTCCTTCTTGACGAGTGGTGCACTAGAAACGTTGGAGCCGAGTTCGGAGGGTTGTGAGCCAGAGTAGTCGGTGTACATGCCATCGGCCTGACGATTGAGACCGCCGACGCGAGCCGCCTTCTCTTCACGGTAATCACGGAGCTCAGGGTCGTTGTAGTCGTTGGTGTTCTCGCGGCGGCCCTTCTTCTCTTTGTGGGTGCGACCGTCACCACCACGTAGGCCGGCTTCGCCCTTTTCGGCATCGCGATACTCGTTCATGTCTGCGCTGGTAGCTGTCTCGTCGGTGAAGCCAATGCTGCTTTGGGCGCCAAAGCTACCGCCATGGACGACACTGCCGCCACCTAGTCGGGTACTCTTTGTGGCATTGGACAGTGTCTTGCCGTCTGGTCCCTTGCGACGCATAACGGTAGATTTGTAGTCCTCCCAATCATTTTCCCGCCACTTGAAGCCGCCATTCTTGGCCCAGAAGAAGAACCAGATTGCGGTGAGGGTCATGCCCACACCAATGAGGGCAAACAGGGCTTGGAAGCCTGCACCAGAATATTTGGAAGCAGGTGCTGCACCAGCGCTGGCCAGTTGCTTGTAGGCATTGTTGGCACGCTTGATGATGGTTTTGGCTACTGAGAGGTCGCGGATAGCCATGGGCGAGAGAGCTGCCTCTTCGGCAGTGAGCTCGGGATGGGGTGCCATGATGGGCGGTTGACGATAGCGAGTGCAACTAGCAATATAGTCAGGCTTCTGTTCACTAACAATGGTAGAGTAGTAGTTTGGGTTGGATGTAAAGGTGATGGGAGTGGTGACTCCCGATACTTTTGTCTGTTGTGGTGTGTTTGGGAGTGTGGGCGGCTGGTGATAATTGGGGTGGCTGACAGAAGAAGAGGTTGGGAAGCGACGTCACCCAAACAAACCGCTGCCACGGGCAACGCGCATCCTGCACATGACCACCACACCACTGCCAACGTGTTCCATTACCAGTCTATCTCTAAAAGCCTGCGAGGACCAGTTCCTGGTCTTTGCTATGCATATTATGAGACATCCTACACATTTTTACTTTCTTCCAAGTTAACCAATCACGAATGAGACTAGTAGTTGACATGCCTAGACCTTGTAGGGCGCACTACTAACCATTTCCTCAACGTTTTCAGTCGTCATTGTACTTCGCATGTTTCGAACCCACTAGAAATCAAATATTTTTCTACTAGTTCTATATAAAGTTTGAACTATATGCATATTGTAGCATTGATCTATCAGCACCGCCAACTTCTCTATCTGTCGAGAGCTTTGTGAGGACGAAATTGCCTCACTATCCAGAAACCTCCAAGTCGACAAACTAACTCGCACATACTTTATCCTCACCCAACTTGCAGCGAATCTACTAATAAAGTAAGAACACAAAATGAGCACAACAATAGAAACCGTGGTAGCGATAGAGCTAGTCGAAATGCAAACCCCCTCCAAAGATTCCATTCACACATCCTCGCAACAAGCCAGGCCGTCTATCGAATCACCAAGCGACGTCAACAGTAGCCCAGACACTGAATTATCCTCCCCCCAACTACTCCCAAAAACATCCAATCTCCAAACCTTCCTTACAATATTTACCCCATCCTTCGTAGGCTTTATGGCCTCCTTTACCAATGGCATCATCACCGTCGGTCTCCCCACCATCGCCCGTGCCATCTCCCTGGAGCGCTCCTTGTATCTCTGGCCATCATCTGTCTACGGCCTTACATCTGGTGCAGCACTTTTGATTGCAGGTTCAATTGCCGATATTGTTGGTGCCAGACCAGTTGAACTAGCTGGAATCACGCTTCTCGGTATCTTCTCTCTCGCATGTGGATTTGCGCAAACGGGCGCCCAACTCGTTGCATTTCGTGCACTTCAGGGCATTGCGCTCGCTATGCATTTACCGGCTTCTGTAGCCATCATTACCAGTGCTGTGCCCAAGGGTCGAGCGAGGAATCTGGGTTTTGCGTGTTTGGGATTTAGTCAGCCCCTAGGATTTGCTGTTGGACTTGTGTTGAGCGGAGTAATGGTTGAGAGGACGGGATGGCGCTCGGGATTTTATCTATCAGGGGCTACTACATTGGCTCTCGGTATAGCTGCGATGTGGACGTTGCCAAAGTTGAAGACACGACAAGAGGGCGGTGCGATGATCGTGCTTAAAAAAATTGCGAAGGAGATTGATTGGGTAGGCGGTATGATTTCGAGTGGTGGTCTGGCTATTCTTGCCTATGTTCTTGCGTAAGTGCCCCTATTTAGAGATCTATATAACCGTAACTAAACGTGGTCAGAATTCTCAGCGCTGATCTTTCGAGCATCCGCTCGCCGGAAACAGCAACTCTTCTCACCATCAGCGTTGTCCTTCTCCTTGCTTTCCCAGCATGGATGTACTACCGCGAGCGCGCTGGCAAATCCGCTCTCGTACCCAACAAGCTCTGGAGCAACCTTCCCTTCACGAGCACCTGCATCATGGTTGCTCTCTCATACGGCGTTATGAACTCCATCGAATTATTCTCGTCTCTATATTTTCAAGAAATCCAAAATGCCTCCATGATCACCACATCTCTCTATCTTCTACCAAACATGGCCACTGGCGTACTTGTCAACGTTGTCGTTGGCTTCTTCGTTGACCGCGTTCCAGTGCGCTGGCTGGTCGCAGGGAGTGCACTTATATGCGCTATGAGCCCCATGCTCATGGCTCTGATGAATCCAAATTGGAGTTATTGGTACCTCGCCTTCTGGGCCCAAATCTTTGCGCCATTTTCAGCAGACGTCTTGTTCACCGTTGGGTTGATTATTGTAAGCGATAGTTTTCCAGAACACACCCAAGCACTGGCTGGCGCGGTCTTCAATACTGTTGCACAGTTTGGTATGAGTCTGGGCATGGGGTCGTGTCAGGTTGTCGCTTTAAGTGTTCAAGATAAGGAGGGTCCGAGTGGAAAGAATAGTGGACATGGGGGGGTTGGTGATGGTGATGGAGCATTTGGGGACACGAATACAACGGCGCTTCTTAAAGGATATCGGGCTAGCTATTGGCTTATGCTGGCGTACATGCTGGTTTGTATCTTCATTGCCATGGTGGGATTGAGGAAAGTTGGCAAGGTCGGGTTGAAGCGAGACTAGTATAGTAAACAGTATTTCAAGCATAGACTTCACTTTTGGCACAATAGCTGGATTTTATTTGAGAAAATGTCATGACTTCCCACTTATGTATAATAATGGCTTCAGTCCCAATGTAAGGACGCTGAGCAAAAACATACCGAGGGTCACTTGTGATAGACCCCCAACGGCAAAAATACATGTTGACTCAGCGGAGGCTCGAACTCCGGACCTTCAGTGCGCTAACTTGATGTTAGACTGACGTGATAACCAACTACACCACCGAGCCAGTTTTGTCTATGTCGATTTGGGTACTTAGGAAAATCATATTTACACTTTTTTTTTTAAAAAAAAAAAAAAAAGGTTCAAACCACTTCCCAAGACGTACGCATACCAAGGTACACGGAAAAAGAATTCAATAGGGTCCAGAATTAGTGGCGGGTAACGACATTGTGGGTGATTGTGTGATTGGTGGGGTCAGGGGTTACTAATGTGGAACCGAAGCCTAGGAGCCGAGTGGGACAAGCGACTAAAACTCAAATGGAGAGGAGTATTTGGGGCTAGAGAAATTGATAGCAGCTAGGTGCGTTATCTTCAGAGAGAGAAACCCAATCGTCACCACATACACGCAACACTGCAGTGACACTACGAAACCTTGGACATGGCAAGCTCGGACGAATTGACCAAGCTACCGACGCCGGCAGCATGCATTGCGGACTTTTGCATTATCCCACTAGGAACGCCAACAGCGTCTGTGTCCAAGGAAGTTGCTGAAGTGCAACGGCTGCTCAAGAGGAGTGGATTGGACTACTCGATGCATTCTGCAGGGACGACAGTGGGTAGGATAGCTGATATGGATGGGGTGATGAAAAGGTGGCTAATTTGTGAATAGAAGGGTCATGGGACGAGGTGATGAGAGTGATTGGTCAATGCCATGCGATGCTTCATGGGAATGGAGTTGTGAGGATTCAGAGTGATATCAGAGTGGGATCTCGGACGGACAAGAAGCAGGGGTTCAAGGACAAGGTTGAGGCAGTGGAGAGGCTGTTGAAGAATGACGAATGACGAATGACGAATGATGATTGAGTCACTGTTGGTGGGGTCATTGCTGCAAGGAGAGAGTGATTTGCTGTTTCACGTGTTGCAAGTATTGAATTTGAAGCTGGATGGAGTACCGTACCTAGGTAAGTAGGTAGGCGCAAGGCTGTTAGGTATCAGAGGGAAAGCGCATCTCCTTTCTGCCATTGGTTCCCACGGACTGCCAGGACTGGACTGTGATGCTAGAAACTGGGGTAGGTAGCCGGCCGTGGGCGGTACCCCTCCATTGAAAACGCGTCAGTGGGCGACAGCGTGGTGGCTTGGGCGTGTTGGCAAAAATTTCAGCGGTGTGTGCGAACTAGGATACCTATGTGGGCTATTGGAAAACGAAGAAAAAAGGCAATTGTGGGGGAAACAAGGCTGGCAACAACAACAAGTGGTTTCTTGAGTGTGTTGCAGTCGCACAGGATTATGCAGTTTGCGAGTCTCGAGTCAGGAATCAATTGAGCATACACGGTAATGTTGGAGGTGACTAGGTAGAACGGAGAGGAGGTTGGCTGCATGTACTCAAGTGGGTACTCAGGTGCCTGGCAGGAAGCGGTGAGTGCACGGCCGTGTTGTACTTTACTGTGGCACTGGTACACTCCATCATAGGAAGTTAACAAATTAGCGAAAGCCTGCTCTTCCCGATTGTCCGGAAAATCCTCTCTCACACAACCTTGGTATTGTTTAGTTACCATCAATCAGTCACTCCACATTCACATTCACATCACTCCCGTCGTCATCTCATTTCATTATCTTGACTTGCTCGACTAACTCTTTCCTAATTCGCATCGCGTTTGGGATTATTTAACTTCCACCTGACACAATTATTGGCTGCGTCGCATGGGAAATCCACGAGGCAACGGAAGGCATGCACGCGACTGCCCCGGCACACACACAACCCAACAACTGCTGCCACTGCTGCCGTCGCTGACCATCCATCCTCCATCACCATGGCTTTCAACTTCAACTGGTCGCCGCTGATCGCCGACACTTCGCGCGCCCGCGAAATGCTCACCACTGCCCTAAATAAATCCCCAAAGCCGCCCATCATCGTCGACGACATCATCGTAACCGAGCTCAACCTTGGCTCAACACCACCTGAGCTGGAGATATTGGAGATCGGCGATCTGGCAGAGGACAGGTTCAGGGGCATATTCAAAATGTCCTATGCAGGCGATGCTTTTCTGACCCTCAAAACAAAAGTCCAGGCGAATCCACTCAAAACTTACTTGTCCAATAAACCGGATTTTGCTTCACCCCAACCCCTGGCTGCTTCCTCGGGCTTGACAATACCCTTGCAGATCACTCTCTCCGATATACGCCTATCCGGCTTCGTCATTCTCGTCTTCTCCAAACAAAAAGGCTTGACCCTCGTGTTCCGGAACGATCCGCTCGAGTCATTGAAGGTCTCTTCCACCTTTGACTCGATACCCTTTGTGCGCGACTATCTGCAGAAGGAGATTGAGGGCCAGCTGCGCGTGCTGTTTATGGAAGATCTACCTGCCATCATACATCGATTATCATTGCGCCTATGGTCACCCGAATTTCAAGAGTTGGAAACCGAGGAAAGATTAGAGGGCAACAACGATGACACCGTGCCGATTGATCCCTTCGCCACACCGCCACAGGATGCTGTCGATGCCTTTGGAAACCCTCTGAACGAATCGCAAATATCTGCTCTATCCCTCGATACCAGCGGCGAGGTCCATGCCTCATTTTCCCAAAAGAACATCCTCCGATTAGCAGCACTCTCGGAATCCCAACACACTCTATCGCTATTCACACCAGGTATTAGTGATGCTGTCTTCCGTGCGTGGGCAAGTAACCCAGATCGCATAGAATCTGGGGCTTCCACTCCAGGTCTTACTCAAGGTAGTCTGTCTAGGATACAGTCGACGTTTGGAAGCATGAAGTCGGGCGCATCATCGGTAGCCTCTGGAAGCACCGGTAATGACTCTCTTGCCTCGCGCCCTTCCCTTACCACATCACATTCCATGTCGGCAGGCCTGAGTCTAGGCGCCAGTCGGTCACGAACTGGCCAGGTTCGAAAGCGCAAGAAGCGCGTGGTCGACCTCAGAAAACACAGGGACGGTACCGAGTCTTCAGGCCTATCCACTGAAGCCAACACCCCTCTTCCTAGCCGATACGCCTCGGATACATCAAGCGTCATTCCCGAGGAACCGGAGCTGGAACTGGAACCCGCCACTCCACCAAGGACACCTGTTAGACCAGGACTCCACTTTGAAGGCAAGCATGGCAGTCTCGATGCCGGCTCGCCGAGTAGAATCTCAGAAAGCTCTGACACGCTGTTGCCTGCTGCACCTATCCTATTCAAGGCATCAAAGAAACGTGAAGACTCTCACCCGCCACCATCAATCCAAGAAAAAGACTTTGCACAAACACCAACAAAGTCACACACTACACCGAAACGCCCTCCGCTCTCTCGTAACTCGCTTCGTTCAGCCCAACAATCCACCTCCCCACTATTACGCTCCTTGTCTTTTGACAAGATATCAGCACTCTCCTCTCCACCCTCGGAGGAGGCATCGGGCTCTAGTGGTATTCTGGAACAAGCATGGATGACGAAGATGGCACAGGAGATTGCTCGGAAGGTGCAAGAAGAGAAGGACAAGGCAGATCGTGTAAGAAGACGCAGTTTGAAAGGGGGAGCAGCGACAGGAGGAATTTGGGCCGGTGAAGATCTTGTCGACGCGCCACCTGCATATGTTGCCTAATGGAAAGTTTTATTTATGAGATCATGATATATGTTTTACGATGGAGGATGGGGGGCGGGGGGCGTCTATGGTATGGCTTAGGCCCAGTCAAAAGGTGGAATGGTATGGGTTGTAATGTAGGAATACCGACCTGGAGCATATTTGGATGGATGGATGGATGGATTGCATTGGGAAAACGCCGGTGCGTTGGTACAGGCAGCGGTGGCAGGCCGTAGGAAAACTTGGTGCTTTTGGCGCAATACCCTATTACTATTATTATTATTACTATTATTATGTTATTTCCTGCAATCACAGCGATATAAACGAAACCATGTCCCTATTCGGACCGCAAGTGTGGCGTCGGTATCTTGTGATCCGCGAGGTTGCCGAGTCTCATTACAGAGACACGGCTGATCATCGACTCTCGTGACGTTACTATACGTATGTCAGAGAGCATCCACCAATGACAGAATTTCATTCCTGCTCGTACCTGAGCTCCGATCAAAACAGCATTATTGAGCCCAACAAAAGGCTTAGGCGAACAATGCGGCGCTGCAGCTGAGCAATTGCCGACCAAGTGCCAACCGGCTTTTCCCCCGCAACCATGCGCCATTGTCGAAAGAAATGGAAACCGACACCCCACAATCGCCGATTGAAGGCAATTTAAACCAGGATGACGACGCGTCGAGGAGTAAGAGAACGCAGATAGCGTGTTTAAATTGCCGCAAGCGGAAATCGCGGTGTTTACTGTGAGTTTCTGACGACTTTTGCGAGGCTTCCTTGGGCGCCGGTCGGCAACCTCAACCACTACATCGGCAAATCCAGCGCATTGCCTCCATTCATTCATATTCCATCCCATAGCACCAAGAGCTCAATATATATACCCATGGGCTAATCAATCATGTTAGCGATGAAGGCGGCTCCATCCCATGCTTACGATGTAAACGCGATAATCTCGACTGTGTCCTTGGGGGCAGCAATCGAGGCGGTCGACGAGTTCGCAAGAAGCATCGCATAGACGATACCCCAACTACAACAACTATCCCCCCTCCTCTCACGGCATCTCGAGCCGATGGTGAGAGCTTTCACGCGCTTGGCAATCTTGGAACCTGGTCTCAAGAGCCCAGCGCAATTCAGCCCCAGTATGAGGGCGAGGACGATCATGCAATGCAGTCTAGCTCCTCTAACGTAGATGATCTGCAGTTCTCCAACTTGCAGAATCCATCAGATGCGCTAGGTATACTTGCAAGAGTTGCTGGGGAGACAAGTTCGAATGAAGAAGCTTCAAACAATAATGGCAACGGACCTATGCAAGCCGGTCGACATTCGATATCAATCATGCCTGCCCTGTCGCTATCTTTCTCATACCCATTGCTTGATCGAGGCGTCCTTACGGTGCATTCATTGTGTCAGCTTCTAGTTCGATATCAACAACAGTATCACCCGTACTATCCTGTGGCGCCTGCTCATATCTTTGACACTTCGCGGCTAG